AACATGGAGAAATGAGGTAAGACATGGTATTGGGAGATAAGACCACTTCCTCCCCATTCTAGTGGGCCAAAATGGGATATCAAGTATTAATTCTGAACATGGAACAGAACTGAAGTAGGATAATAATTTCCCTTTTCATTTCCCTATTCCTGTAGCTATATAAATTAAAATTATTTTCAGGTCTAGAAGGTCAAATTAGACAATGTGCTATTATGGTATAGCAGCCTTTGTTAAGGAAATTTTAAAAGATAGTTAGACTCAAGTATAAAGTAGTAAATATGGTACTTGTAGCTAAAAAGGTAGCTTAGTATCCAAATCTGAAAGGGTCATAAAAATATTGGCAACATTTCACGTCTAAGAGGGAAGAGACCTGACAATCAGGAATTACTTAAACATTCCTTCAAAAATAAGACCATAATTTGTATTTTGATAAAAAACTTTGTGATACATTACTATGTGGTCTAAAGAAGTCTTTACTTCTAGTTACTGAGGTTGGGTAAAGCTTCTCCAGAAAAGACAAATAAATTAATTTGCAGTTCAAATAAACTGCATTTTGACATCAGTATAATGTAGAACATGCTCTTAACAAGAAAACCAAGAAACAGCAATTCTGTGGTAAGACAGATGGAACACTGGCAGACAGACAGGTAGTTAAGCACAGATCTAAAATGAAAGCAAAAGGAACAACTAAGCCACAAAGAAGACCCACTGCATGGGAGCTAGCACAGGAAATAGCTGAAGAGACCCCTACAGAAAACTGAGGAAAATTATTATGCCGTAACTTGTTTATGCTGGCTGAAAAAAAACAAGGTAGGGAATGAGTAGAAGGGCCAAGAAGGAAACTTTTCTATTTACAAAGTGCTCAGGGAAAGTGTAAATTAAAAAAAGGCAATACACTCTGAAAGATACTTTCTGGTTAGAAAAATCTATTAAATGGCTTTGATTACAATGTTTTAGCTATTAACGGAATTTATAAGACAAATAAAAGGTGTGCTACATTGTAAATTAGAGAAAATGTTTTTCTTTGATGCCAGTCAAAAACAAAATAAAAATTTAAATCAATAAAAAAGATGTGAAAATTTTAGAAACTTAATTTACAAAGTAGACAATGCTTTCTTTGAAAAAGTCATATTAAAAAAAAATCACTATTCACTTGAGTTGCCCTTCTAACAGTTAAAATGGCACCTGTCCTCCCAGTGATCACTGCACACAAAACCACTAGCACCCAGATCCCTAGAGTACACTTCTGCCTGAAACCACACCAAATATTAACTGAGCATGGGAAAAGCTTTATACTTTGAGGGCTATGGAAGAATTATAACATGTGGTTCTAGTACAAGGGAACTTCTAATCTAGTTGAGGAGATAGGACTAACATGCATAATCCAAAGAACTACGTAAGATAAAGTATAATTAAGCACTATGCTGAGTGGTATTTATCACAATCTTACACAACTGCAAAGTGGGAGATCGATAAGGGCTGGAATAACTGGGGAAGGCTTGGGAAGAGGCTACCTTGCCCTGGGCCTAGACACAGGAGCAAGATTGAGGTAGGTGGAATCAGCTGAGGGAAGTAACCACGTAAGTGAATTACAGTATAGAGTGAGTCAGTTAAAAATAGTGTGATGAGAATACGGCTGTTAATAAACTATTAAAGGAGTAACATACCTTGATTACTGCTTCCTATCTCTGGACTTTTTTTTTTGTATATAATATTAATCCACACAATCCAGCAAAGGATCCTAATAGCACTTCTCATAACCATATAAGAAAATAAAAATGCTTACGGTTTGATTAAAAAGTTTGGGAATAATTCTATTTAGAAATAGATATATCTTTAATAAAGCAAAAGTTTCATGCAAAATACAGTTATTTGACCATCATTTCAAAGGTTATGCTTTAAAATCTGTATTGATAATGTCCACATTGTTACATTTACCAATGTGAAATTTTATTTTTACTTAAAATCCCTTGAGGGATGAAAAAGGTGCTGCGAGGTGGAAAAGCACAGAATGGAAACCATTCTGTCTGTCACTAGCCCTGTCACCAGCCTTGAGCTGGTTTCCATTACCTCTAAACATGGAAGTTGGGCTCGATGATCTCTGACGCCTCATAAAGAATTTGGTGTTCATAAGAAATCTATTAAGTAGATGAATATTATACTTGCTTGACTGAATTACTTTCAAAGAGAATGAAGCTCTGTTCAAGGTACACACAAAAAATTATAATAATACATTTGTTAAAAATTAAATATGAGATGCTGATAGTAGTGAACAGGATAAAATCAGAAGTAGGCAGGGACACCCACAGACTGTGACTGTTGTGATTTTTAACTCCCAAAGGCCTCAGTAACTGCCCCATAAAATCAGGTTTTGGACAAAATCATCGCCTGCTTTTACCCTCTACTCATGAAATGCCACATAGCTTGTAGAAACACAGTGCACCTCCCCCCACCCCCCATCAAGCTATTTTGAGAAACAGGCTTTTTTTCCTGTTGTTTCCTCTGACTGGAATGCTGATTCCCTTACAAGCTTGCCCACACCTATACCATCTACTGTGACCACTCACAGCTGGCCTGGGGTGGGGGTGGGGGGCTCCGTGCCCATCTTTTAAACTTTCACAGTACCTTGTCCACACCTCAACCACAGGACCAGACACTTTAGGTTGAGATTAATTATGTCAGTATTCCCAATTAGTTGGTAAGCTTTTTGAGGATAGAAGACAGTGTCCCTTAAACCCCTAATAAATAGTCACCCTATTCTTAGGCGATCTCATCCACTGTTATGGTTTTAGCTAACTAGATAAAAATAAGCTGGACTAAATGTTGAAATGAATAAGCAACTTCATTACCTCTGCATTTTTTCCACATGTGCCCATATTTTTATAAACTCATCAGTAAAAGGATTAAAACTGTAAGGACCTCAGCTATCAAAAATCTACCATGTTTTATAAAATCAATTAAAAAAATAGATCTTAGTATAGGAGACAGTATTATTAAATTAAAATATATATATTCAGTTGTGATGTACCAAAGTTAAGAAAAAAGCAAACTCTTAATTGTTTAAGATTAAAGAAAATCAGAATACATTTCAACGGTCGTTGGATTTGGCAAGTTTTATGAAAATATCTCCCAAAAGCATTTTTTTCCTAAAAGATGCTTCTCATTCCTTTTGTTTTTTATCAGTTACATCCTCTTCATTGCCAGATTTTTATTAAAAATTTTTTTTGATGGCATGTGTTTTCAGTATTGAATGTATGCTTACTAATTGAGTGTGTTTAAATTTCTCGTTGGTAAATGGATTTTGAGAAATATGATCTGGTAATACAAGCCACCAATAAGGCAAGTGGCACTGTGGTGCCACTGATCTGTGGTGCGACAATATGCTAATAAGAACTAAATAGAGAATTTATTGCAGGCGCCCTTCCATTATGTTACATGGGGAATCTTTGGTTTTCCAAATATGACACAGAAAAAAACAAAACAAACCCATCAGTCCTCCCTAACTATTACACAGGAAAGCCATAATTATGTTGCAAGCCTCATCTCACAGAAATACAAGGGAAAAAAAGGCAAAAGTTTACAAAACTAACACATCCAGGAAGCATCAGCTAATAGAATGCTCAATCTACACAACAATGAGGCTCCCACTCGGGACTGCTGAGCTTCAAGCATTTCAAAAGGGACCCACTTGGATGCTAAATGCAATAGAACTGGAATAACATACAACCTATGAGGTCCAGAGGCACAAAAAGTGGCTGGTATACCCTTAAACCAACAGTAACTAAAGAGTTAAGAACCTACAACTTTAAAATGGGAGATTAGGATTGACTATCCTAAAATCCAATATCCATCAAATGCACCCAAATAACCTTCTCTTCCCAGATGTTTCCTCTTTGATTTCCATGTTCTTATATGATTAGCTCTGGCTCAGAAAGAAGGAACTTTTCACTTTGTCTGTCAAAACCCAAACTATCTGACCTTCGAGGCACAAAACAAAACAGAATTTTTGGATAAAATGTGCTGCTCCTGTCACTTTTTCATTCTAAGTAATGTTTTGGAAATTAAAAAAGTATAATATAAAATTTTAAAGAATATTAGTGTTACCAGAGGCATAGCAAGAGCATCTGGCACAACTTGGTATTCATTGAACAAATAAGAGAACCACTAGCAATTTAACAGTTAAGATTATAAATGACCCCAAATCGTGTATGTTCCTCTGACAAAGTCCTACTCGTAGGATTGTTTTCCATTTCCTAATTTAATCACAGCACTTTGTGTAATCTTTCCTAATTATATTTTGGCTTACAAATCTTGTTTTGTGAGCTGTGACTAGTTCTCTGAGACAGAAAACAATTTGACATATTTTGAAATTTAAAACATGCTCTGATATTTTCTTCAAGCTGAGGAGTATTGGTCTAGTCAGAAGGGTTAGGAACTGCTGTCTGGCTATGGCAAGCACCCAAAGGTAGACCTAAAGAGATGGGGATACATCTAAAATCAGGCACTGTATGGAGAAATACATTTTGCTAAAATATATTTCATAAGTAGTTAAATTTTCTATAAATGTAATATTTATTTTTTATTGGCAAGGTGTCAATACTCTAAAAACAGTTCTAATCTCCTGATAAATATCTCTGAATACTCCCTACCTGTCAGAAGATGGAGCTCTAAACATATCTGAAATACTGGCTTTTATATGTGTATTTCACAAATGTGTGTAATGAGGAGATTAAAATAGAAGTAAAGTCTTTAGAAAAATGGTTCTGAAGAATATTCCAATTCTCTCAGGATAAAATCACCCACATTTTCAAATATATACATTTTTGAATATATGGTTAACTAACAAAAGAGATGTTTAGTATGTGCCTTTGAAGTTTCAATATGTTGCCTACCATAAAAATTTAAGTATACGTAAATCAGAGAATAAAAGACAACGTATATAAAAAAGGTAAAAAATTAGGATCACCTATTCGAATGTAGGCAAAGTCATTAATACTCACAAGCATCTCGGATGTAGAGTAACATGGCGATGAAGATATAATCGACTAAACTCAGGCTGACGCCATCTGCAAACAAGGCATCCCAGACCACCAGAAGATCCTGCAGAGGAAATTCTCGTCCAAACAGCAGCCGCACCCACCGTCTGGAAAGAGACAAAACAAAAATCCAGAAGACAGTCTTTTGAGAGTAATTTGAAGAGTGATCAGTTGTTGATGTAACTGTAAAAAAATTACAAATTAGATAACTCAACACACACAGTAAATATTACATATCAAACATACAACACAGTAAAATCCAGAGTTTTACGCTTTTAAATTAACTTTACAATGTTATAGCTGGGACACAGTTATTAAACTTTGTTCCTATATGTATAAAACACAAGCTCTATACTGGAAAAAGAGAGAAAGCTTTCATACTTAATATGAATAATAAATCCCAAAAGGGTAAGAGAAAGTGAACACGTAATGGTCTGGTGGTTGCCTCATAAGTGATGTTAGGGGTTAAAAATATGAACTACCAAAATTTCATGATCCCTACTAAAGGCATGCCTCTATCTCCTTTTTTTTTTTTTTGAAAATTGGCATTTTGCAAACGTTTGTATGACAAATTACTATAGCTCAACTTAGAAAACTGGATTCTCACATTTCACTCCTACTGGAAAGATTCATTTTTAAGTTAAATGGGGGTGGGGGGGGGGGTGGGGGTGGGGAAAAAACCAGTAGACACTTACTTATGTATTTTTGTCAAGTGTAGACATTTGTTTTCAAATGAAACATACCGTGATACCTAATTTTTAGCTTTAGAATATAACACACCCGATTAGAGAGGTAATCTTTCTAGGGATGCTTTTCAAAACATACTTCTATGGCCAGGAAAATGGGTATCAATGTCACAAAGCAGACACAGCTAATGAGAATATTAAACAAGGTATATGTATAATTGTATATTGTAAATAGTGATGCTTCAGACTTTCAATCTTTCAATAAATGCTAATTAACCTATTTATATCTAATCTTATAAGATAATTAAAATAACTCTGCTTGATGTATTTTTTCCAATTTTATATAACATGGTTAGAATTCCCTTGCTCAAGCCTTTCTCCAGGAACTTCAGGTAGAATTCTATGCAATTCTGGTACATAAGCAAAGAATAAAAATTTCACATTTCTAGTACCACCAAATAGCACAGAAGAGAAGAAATTCTTTAAAAATTAGTTGAGATAGTCTTGATTTCTTCGCAGAATTTAAAACTGAATATAACCATCTGTGAGGTTAAAATAAGGCCGAAAGAAAAAAATTCAAATATTTTCCTTAAGAAGAATTACATTAAGGAGGAATCAAGAAAGCTGTGACAAAACAATGTACATTCACACATACATAACACAGTTTATTAGGAACCATGTGATCAAATATTTACATTATTTTATTCATATCATCTAATTAATTTATAGAATAATTAGATTACATATTCAACTAAATTTTAAGGTTATTCAATTTTTCAGGAAAAATATGTCTAGGTAACATTTATCCTTTTGAAATTGCTACAGTATCTTTGCAATTTTTATCTACTGTTCAATTCTTATTCTACTGCTAATATGAGGGGTAACTAAGAACAATATACACTTTTTCATCTGATATGCCCGTACTTAACATGGCTTAGGAAGAAACACGACTTTTGCATACACTTCAAATTCCTTCAAATTAAAAATGCTAATATTTACTGTTCTAAGAAGTACAAAAATAACTCTAAATAGGTTGCTCTTTTTAATTACAAAGAATTAACTGGCCTTGCAAATAGTGTCGGGGGAGCCAGAGAATAGGCAAAGCAAAAAAAAATACATGCATTGAACCATTTTGGGCACTTGTTTAAAAGGGTTTTTAATTGACACATACGTCTGCATTCTCGACTAAAACAGTTAGAACGTGGTTATTCAGTTATTCAACGGAAACAACTGAAAGAAAAAATCTCTCACTGAATAAAACCTGCTGAAGGTTAATACCACAGATGAGAGTACAGCACAAATTCCTCGCTCTCCTATGGACAATCACATCTTTAGTTTCATCACAGACAGTGCTTCAAGAGCAAAACAGACACAAAGTAGCCTATTATTTCTACAACAAAATGCCTTGCTATTGCTCAAACTTTGCTCTTTCTCTTGCAACCTTCCTGCTGATTGCTTGGGGTTGTGTTAGTTTAGCTTCAAAAATGACACTGCAGATATACATACACGCAGCAATCTGTACTTAGTGCTGGCAGGAGGGGGAATGGCAAACATCTAATAATCTACACTGAATAAAATGTAATATATCTTTTTTTTTTCCTATGTCAAAGTGTTCACAAATTTAACATCTTCAAAACTGGACAGAATGCAAGTCTCCAGTACTTTTATATTTAATCTGTAATCTATGATGTGCTGCTTCATTCTTGAAGTACCTTGCCAAATACACTACTAAATCAGTCCAGGGCAAGGACTAGGACCAGACTCGCGCGCGCGCGTGCGTGCGTATGTGTGTGTGTAAACATCTCCAGAAAGTTCACTGTTGCATGTTCTAGGTGTTTACCAAGGTCTTGTTAAAAGCATTGTAAAGCCATCTGTCATGCTACCGAGAAGCAAAGGTATAGCTAAATCACAAGTACATGAACTGATCTTGTTAGTGGCCACACAAAAATAATTCAGAAAGTGGAATAGAAAAAAACAAACACAGAAACAGAAAAGAAAAAATTTATTATTAGATGCCTATCATGTTTCTTTTACATAAGACTGCTAATAAGTTGTACATGCAAGCACATTATATTAAAGCAAAATACAGTTTTCTCTATTTTATATGCAATTACAGAAAAATTAAGGCCAAATTCTTAGAATATTTAAGAAGTACTGTATGACTAATGGAATGCTCTGGGACCAACAATTCCCTTATCAATAATTTAATCATTTTTATCCCAATTGGATTTGGCTCATACATGTATTCACCACCCACAAAATTTCCTGTGCTATTTTGGATTTTCTTCATTGAGCTTAAAAGCTAAGGAAAAATTCAGTTCTTCATGGAATGAGTTACTAATAGAAATTATTTCAGTAAGCTCCTGTATTCTTAGAAAGGAAAGCTTACTCTAAGAAGCGAGACCTTATAAAGAAGTGACTCCTACAGTTAACACGTTTTTATGGCAGTTAAAAATATTTAGCTAGAATTGAAGTTACACTTAAGGGTAGCATTAAACCTTTTTTCCCCCTTAAAGATAGCTTCAGTTTAATTGCTTGATACTATCAGTCTTGCTTTATGTATGCTACACCTGCAGACTTTAATGTTCATAACCATATACATCTAATCACTTGTGATAATATAATAATTCATATTTTTACCAGACCTACTTAGTAATTAAAATCTACGCAAACAAAAGACCATCTGAGGCTTTAAATTTAATAATAAACCACCCAAAGGCAGGGCAGTTTCTGTGTTTGCACTTATACCACTATTCTCAATTTTAAATTTCTGTGTAATTAAGCTGCTATTCCCAGGAGGTTAGTAACTCCTGATGGTGTTATTGCTTGGTGAATGACACATGGAAACACCAAGAGAAATCCATTTTTACCAATCAGTTCATGAAAATGACCAGTCTGACTGAGGCTTAAATACACATAGCCTCAATACACATAGCTGAAGTAGGCTACATATGGAGAAATAAATGTAAATACTAGATGTTCAATTTATTTTTCTTTAATGATTCTTTAGTGAGATATGGGTATAGCAGCCTTGCAAGAACAAGTAATGTAGAAAAGCTATATCCACTTGAATTTACCAAATATTACAAGGGCATCTCCTTTATTTACAGCCCTGTGCTAAGTGACCTGTGATTAAAAAAAAAAAAAAAAAAAAGCACTGGGTAAGCATATTGGAACACAAAAGAACAATATTAGATTTTTGCTCAATGCTATTTTGTCTTTTGCTTTCTGTTATACTTGTAATTTTCAAAGCTAACAATTTCAAAATAATCCATGCCTGGCAGGGAATAAACACAGAATCTAAATACTGTATTAGTATTACAGAAAAATAAAAGCAAGCCAAATGTGATGATCTCTTTAGTCAGGCATCTCCTTGATAGGGTTTAGGGTCTTCTTGTATTGGGTTTTTTGTAGTCAGTCTTTTGAAATTCATTTATCCTCAGTTTTTGTTTACATTGATTCTTCGAAAACAGTCTTAAACTTAGAACCAAAATATTGCAGTTATTATAATTAAGGTCACAAGGCACTCTCATCTTTGTGCTGTTGAGTCAGTTTCGACTCAAAGAGACCCTATGTACAATAGAACAAAACACTGCCTGGTCCTGTACCATCCTCACTATCGTTGCTATGTTGCTATTCATAAGATTTTCGCTGGCCAGTTTTTTTAAAGTAGGTCATCAGGTCCTTCTTCCTAGCCTGTCTTAGCATGGAAGCTTTGCTGAAACCTGTCCACCACGGGTGACCCTGCTGGTATTTGTAATACCGGTGGCAGAGTTTCCATCATAACAGCAACATGCAAGCCACCACAGTACAACAAACTGACAGACGAGTGCTTCAAAAATAGAAAGATCAAATTAGTTATTGTGTTTAAAGATTCAGATTTGCTTTCTAACTGGTCCTTTTAATCCACAGGTTGAGCCCAGCTTGAATATGGCTTTCTGGGAACACATGTTAAACCTAATTTAACCCCCACAGGATATGTTCCTGAACTGTAAAGAGTGTATTTTTGACATTGGGGAAAATTCTCTGTTCCTTTGAGAGGGCAGTACATAGCCTTTTATTAAGGAAGGTTTCTTATTCCAAAAATAAGTTCCTAATAATTATCACCCATTCCTACTGTAATTTATTCTCTTTGGCAAGTGTTTGAAGCTGTTTTGTCAAAACAACTATAATACACCCTTTGCAAAAATAGTCTGAATGGAAGTAGAGCCTCGTGTTATCTATGCTTTTCCAGAGATCTAAGAGGCTCATGAGAATATTGGACATAGAGATGACCATCACGAGTTTTGAGGCTGTATAATTCTTGCACATTTACACACACACACACACCCCTTTTAGAAGTATGCCTGCTATTTGGATTACAAGTATGTTATTTCAAGGACTGAGTAACTTTAGGGTATGATTCACGAGGAAATTCAAAT